TTTTAAGGCCTTTTAACCAATTATTATTAATAATTATGACAATAGCAAAAATAACATTACATTATACTAATTTTGTATAAAATTATAATTTTTATATTTAAATAATTTATGAGTATGTGTTCGAATTCATTAAATCAACGATAACGTATTATTAATTCATTAAATTAATCGTTACATATTACAAATTTTTATAGTGTCATAATTATTCATATTATATTTATTATTATTAATAAATTTATTAATTATGACAAAATTATATTACATTATGATAATTTTGTATAAAATAGCAATTTTTATATTTAAATAATTCATGAGTATATGTTATAACTCATTAAATCAATGCTCATAAATTATTAATTTGTTAAATTCTCATCAAAAATTTAATCTTACATTTTTATTAAATTTCAAAGATATTGCAGCAACTTTTGTCTATAAATATATCAAAGACTATTTTTAACGTTGCCTTAATTGTGACGAATATGCACACTTATATCTTTCTTTTGGAGAAATATTAGAATCCCGTTGTTTAGGTTGAGAAAAAACTAAATCGTATTATTCCATATTTTAAAGTATTTTCTTATAAATTTCCAAATTTGCCTAATTGGCATCAGGAAACTATGTAGATTAATAGCGGTTTCATAATAACGAATCGCTTTTCTTAAAAGTTCCTATATTATTTTCATTCATAAGTAATTAGTGAATTTCGTGCTGTTTTTTTTTTATCTTCTTTTGATGGCAAAAATGCTTATTTAAAACTGGGCAAGTGATATAAAGCCTAAAGCCAAAGTATCTCTGTTGAAAATGGGCACTTTAAGTCTGTAAGCAATTATAAATAATCTAACTATGACAATTCATATATTTAAAACAAAAATGAATTTGATACTAGTATTTTAAATATTATCATTTGTAATCAGTAATTTTATTCATAGTGTTATATAATTTTATAGCATTTTTTCCTTACATACCTTAACACTCAAATCCTGACAGAATTAATAAATTATAAATAATGTAACTATGACCATATATTTATTTAAAAGAAAAGTGAATTTGATGCTAGAATTCGAAATATCATCATCTGCAATCTGTAATTTTATTCATAGTGTTATATACTTTAATAGATTTTTTCACTATACATGCTTTAGTATTCAAATCATGACAAAATTAAGCAATTATAAATAATATAACTATAGCTATATATTTATTTGGGAGGAAAATGAACTTGATACTAGTATTTTAAACTTAATTGTTATAAAATTGCATTGTAACTTTAATAAAATATTTGCATAAAATAAAATTTGAAATTAATTCGCATAAAATTTAATTTAAATATGTAGTACTTAATTTATATAAAATATATTATATCAACATTGGAAGGAAATTAGGATGAATAGCTCTTTCAATAACGTTTCCTATGTAAAAATCTATTTTTACAGATCAAACAAGATTATTTTCCAATTTAAGAATATTCCTATTGTTACGTAAAATAGTATTTAATTAAACATGAAAAGAGTTGTTTAATTTAATTACTCTCAGTTATCTAATAAAACCAAATTTTCATATAATTGTCATATCTTTGAAACAAAATGATTTCTAGAGAGAAAATTTGCTCTTGATGAATGCCAAAATGCATTTTATCTTTCTAGGCAATAAATTTTAATGAAATTGAGCACTTGATAGTTCCGTATCTCTTCTTCATACACGGATGGGTTTACTCGTACTCTTTTATGCATATTTGCAACTTATTTCTAGACGGGACAAATTATGCTTCCTGCTAGAGCTTCAAGCATTTGAGTCTTCCGCTGTACTTGCATTGAACTTTTCGCATCAAAGAGTTTTGAACTAAAATGCATATCCTGAAAATCTCCTTTCCGGTACAATAAATTATATTCCCAACCACACCAAGCTTTAATTCTTATAGGCCTCTTATCAGATTATAAATGGATGGGTTGTTTATGATTTTGGAAGCAAGTTAAGCAAAATCATTTTTATATTTGGAATCCTTATCGATGGTAGGAGGAAGGATTCAGGTATATCATTAAGGAAATATATTTTGACAAATTTCTTGATAGGCTAATTTGAATTTTTAGTGGTAAATAAACCCTGTTTTAAGTTTCATACATTCGTATGATAAGATTTTACATGGAAGTTTCAATTTACTTTTAAAATTTGTATTTTGTATTTATATATATTCATCATTATTGGAGTTGATGCTGAATATTTGAAATTATTATCGAAAATTCTTACTCATTAAACAGCTTTAAAAAAAAAAAAAAAAAAAAGTTTTATCTGGAAAATGTTCAGCAAATAAATCAATTTTTTTGTTGAATTTTTGTTTTACAACATATAAGTGATACTTAAATATTAAATATATTGTATGAATTAATGTGATTATTCTCCATTTTTTTTTGTTGGTTTTAGTAATGATTTTCTGTCAATTAAACTGTTTTTTTTTTTAAAATTAAAGTTCGTGCAAACAATTGTAAATTAATTTGATACTCATATATAAAATTTTTTATTAATTGTATATATGAAGTGAAAACGTTGTTTGGAATGTATTATTAGAATTTAGCACTTGATATTATTTAATTGAATTGAATCCGCTTTTATTTAATATTTTATTTTATTTTTAATATTTTATTTTATTTATTAATAATATTTTATTTAATTGAATCCGCTTTTTTCTTAATATTTTTACTTAAATTTCACATCATAGATGTCACTTTCTTTTTAAATAATCAAATATAAATAATATCTTATATTTATTTCTATTTAAAAATTGTGACTTAATAAAAAATAAAATTTCAAAACACCAAAGAAATATTTATTTTAGTAAAAATTATACTAAATAATTCTTTCTCTGCAAATTTATTTTTAACAAATTGTTGAAATTATCTGACTTTATACTTCATAATTGCTAAATTTAAATAAATTATTGAGAACTATTAACTTGGGTTTACTAATTGTATTTATGCTAATTATATAAATTAGTAAAATCATCCGTGAAAATGTAGATTTTACTATTTTACATTTAATCTACTGCAGAAACAGAAATTCCAAATTTTATTGAAAAGTTTAAAACAAGTTTACAATTTAATTTTACTTCGTATACATTATTTATAAAGTTCACATAATAAAAAATGGTAAAATATCAAAAAAAAAATATCTTTCATTCTGAACTCTAAATACCAAACCGCCACAAATTATACTCAACAAAAATATTGCTTATCAGTAAAATAAAATTAGCAATTAAAAAATTAATTGTATGAAACTTTATGAGATAAAATTAATAGAGTTGGGAAAAAAAATATTTGTATTCCTTTTAAATTAACCACACGTGCATATGATAAATTTTATTTTGAAGAATATTGACTTAAAATAATTTTAAATTAATGAATATCTCTTTATAAATCCATTTTTTCGACGCCTTAAATATATTCAATTAAAATAGCTTAGCTAATATTTAACTAAAATGTTAAAAAAAATTAAATTAAAGTTTTTTATTCTAATCCCAAACAAACTAGACAAAAATAAAAATAACTCTATTTAACTCTTCTCAAATTCCTTAGTTTTAGAAGAACCGAAATCATTTACTCTCTCAAATTAACAAAAGAAAAAAAAACAAACTTCTTTAAAAGTCTGAAGATTGAAGTTTCTTTTGTTTTAAGCTTTCAAAGTTTATTTTCAGTTAATTGATCCCGAAGTACCCGTATGATTAATTAAATAAGTATCAAAACCTGATTTTTAAAATTGATTTAAAGTAAACCTAAATAAAAACAAATAACTTTGTGGTCTTTTTTTTGTTTAATTCTCCAAATCCTCTTTAAGAATAATTTCACTTTCTTTCAAATTAAATAGAGTATTATAAAATTAAGAAATTAAACTGAAGAGAAAAAGTTGAAAAAAAAATTGGATATTTAATTAGAATGTATGTGTATCTGAAAGTGTAAATATGTATTGAAATTTGCTTGTAAATATATATTCAAGTGTGTGATATGGAAACCATAAATTACTTTAAGCTAAGTTTTGACAGTTATTCTAATAATAAAAATAATTTACCGGAAAAAATAAGTTTTTTAATTAAAATTATGATTCGAAAAAAAATATATTTCATTTAATAAAAGTAGAATATATAGAAAAGCAATATTTGTTGATTATATAATGTACATTTATTTGTAAAACGTAAATTTATATTTAATTTTTATTTAGAATGATGTAATAAAGTCTTATTTCATTAAAAATATTAGATCATATGTTTGAAGAATTTAATATTTTAAACAAATTTTACTTATTATTAAAAATGCATGAACTATAAATGAATCAGAGTTATTCCTTATTAGATTTATCATATATGTATGAATGCGTTCACCTATAAAGAAAATTATTTTCCTATTAAAAACAAGTTTTGGAAACAAACTATGTTTCAATAAAGACATATGATTCAAGAACGAAAAATTTTAGACATAATGTTATTTATTATTGTATCAGATTTGATTGAATAAATTTTCCATATATTTTTTCAAAAATAATTATTAAATCATTAAATTAGAAACCTAAGTTGCATTTAAAATTGTATATTGCTGAGAATAATTACATTTTCACATGGAAATCATGTATATATATATATATATATATACACATACATACGACACAAATATAAAATGAGACACCAGGTAAATGCTGATAAATGATTATTAATAATACTTTTTATCCTTGTTGTTGTTTCTTATTCCACTTGGCTGGCCAAGCCCACGAGCCCATACGTACTCATGATTGAAGGGGAAGGAAGCAGCTTCTTTTGTGATGGAGCACCCGTAGGTAGAAGTCTGACTTTGGCTCCGTCACGCTCTTACAGTCATAGGAGACTGGGACCTACGGCTTAAAGTGGATTCCGAACCACTACAAACATCCATGGCACCGGCGGGATTCGAATCCGAAACCTGTGGCACCGAGCACCAGAGCGCTAGACACTCGGCCATTCAGGTCCCACATTTGTGAATGCCAACGGCACGCGGTGTTCCCAGGTGGTCACCCACCCAATGATGCTTAACTTCGGTGATCTAACGGGAACCGGTACAATCAGCATGGTATGGCCGTTGGCTAACTTTTTATCCTGGTGGATATAATCAAAGAAATGCAACAGTTTAAATAAAGATTTGTTAATTATTCATATTATAGTTATTTTTCAAAAAATAATTTTAATCACTTTTTATCAGTGTGTACTTAAGTATAATCTTATGCATTTATTTAAGAAAAAAAAAATCGCGAAACCAAAATTCCACAATTCATTTTCATTACTCAATATGAACGGCAAATTTCAAATACTCTGTGTATTTAACATATTCAAATTCTTAAAGATATTTTTATAAAATCATTTAAATGCTTTTAAATAAACGCTATCAAAGCTATGTAAATGAAGTACAGGTGAAATATTTACATTCTAGAATGAAAAAAAAAATATGAGAAACAGCAGATGTTATTTCGAAGACAATAGCTGCTTTAAATATTGACACTTTGAAATGTAAAAATGTTTGACTCTGTTATGTTGTGCAATCGTTTATTTAGTATAATTTTTCTAAAGAACAATCAGGTATTTCCGATTATCTCACGAGCTGAATTTTAACATTTAGTTTTAAAAATCTAAATTCTTTGCACCGTAGAATCAGTTTTATAATTTGATTAAGCCTATCCATCTCTTTATTTAATTAGTCGAATTAACATCAGTTTTCTACCTATTGTTTGGTATTCGTAATTCTTAAAATCCTTATCTCTGTAAAAATTTCTGTTTGAAAATTATTTAAGAATATTTCATCCTATCTACTCATAGTACTTAACTTATAGCTATTAAATAATAATAATTTATTTAAATATGGTTATATGCTTTTAATTTTTTAAAGAATATGTTTTCTAAAAATGATATATGGATTGATACTTAAATATTAATTTTAGAATCATTAATAAATACTATTTTTGGTTCTCAATAAAATTTTCTTTTGATTTCTGAATTTAAATGCAGTCAAACATGTTTATTCAATAAAATAATAATTCAGTAATATATTTTTCATCTTTTTTTGTATTTTTTTTTTGTCTTTATCAATAAATCAGAATTATGCACTACAATAATAATAATTCCTGCCCAAAATGAAATATTGTTTTCGCATTTCATAAAAAAAAAATTGGCTAAGTAATTCAAAATTCCATAGTTCGAAATAATTTGTTACAAGTTTTATATCCCAAACTCAATTCCCAAATTTAAATGCAATCAAACATGTTTATTCAATAAAAGAATAATAAAAATTTCATTTTCCATCTTTTTTATCTTTTTCTGTCTTTATCAATAATTTAGAATTATCAACTGTAATAATAATCCCAACCCCAAAAAATTAAATATTGTTTTCACAGCTTTGGAAAAAAAATTAACAATGTAATTCTAACTTCCACTTCAAAATAATCATTCAGTTTTAAGGTAATATCTCAACTCATTTCCCGAATTTAAATGCAATCAAATATGATTATTCAATAAAAGGATAATTCAGTATTCCATTTCCATTTTTTTAAATCTTTTTCTGTCTTTATCAATAATTGAGAATTATACACTATAATAATAATCCCAGCTCAAAATGAATTATTGTTGTCGCATTTCCTGACAAAAATATTGCCTAAGTAATTCAAAATACCACAGTTCGAAATAATTCATTACAAGTTTTAAGGCCATGTCCCAAACTCAATTCCTGAATTTAAATGCGATCAAACATGTTTATTAAAAAAAAAATCAATATTACTTTTTTGATATTTTTTCTTTTTTTTCTGCCTTTATCAATAATTCAGAGTTATACACTGTAATTACAATTCTCCCCTAACCAAAATGAAATATTATTTTCACAGTTCGTGAAAAAAAGTTGTTTAATTATCATATCACAAACTCAATATTTTTCCAGTTATCGTTAAAGGTCAGTATTTTTCGAGTTTTTTTAAATAAAAATATAATAATTTACAGGAATATGAACTAGCAGATTATAATAATAATATTTGTAACTCAATAATGGTTTAAAATAACTGTAGTTTAATAATTAAGATGCGAAAATTATAAATTAATAAAGCTTTGAATGACCTCATCAGAGTTAATAGATCTTCTGTTAGCTTTCTTTTGGACGCAAATCCAACTAGACATTCCATTTCAAAGAATTTCCTGTGCCATTTCAGTTACACGATGCTTGACGAATTGCAACCGACTTATCACTCTGAGGATGGTAGACAAATTGAATATCCGGTTAGTCAGTGGATTATGCTCAATTGTAGAAGTTGTGCATTATTCAGTCCATTGAATACAGTGGATTACAGAAGTTGAATGGATACAAAGAATTAAAGTGAGCTACGAAGAATCCTTTAAGGCTTCCTAAAGAATCTTCCCTGCCTTATTTAAATAAAGCAAGTTCTAAATCACTTTTTAAGACCCACAGTTGTAAATTCGGTTTGCATTGGACAGTTTGTATTCATCTGCCTGTATTTATCGTATAAGTAAAATTTACTATTGTGTTTCACTTTGTCCTAAAATAAACTTAATAAAATGTAATACTAGAGAAATAAAATATTCACATAAGTGAAAACTGAATCATAAAAATTCATTTGAATTTAAATGCGTTTATTAGAATAAAGTAATGTTGAAATTTGTGAAACAAATTAAAGATAGCATTACATTTTTGGATCTAATAAATGTTGGATTTCTTTCAATTTATAATCTCCTTGTACATTTCTTAAATTTGTTTAAAATATTCTACAAGAGTAATTCGTAATTCATTTACTTTTATTAAAATATTTTTACTCATTTCCATGCTTAATTCAAATTTCGTAGCAAAACTACAATTTGACACAAACCCTTGGCATAATTTCATGGATAGTCTAAGCTTCTCGCGCTTATACAATGAAATTTACGTTGGCAAACGTGTATGTTAAACTGAATTTTGAATCATCTTTAATTTAAGAAACTGAGTGCAATTTATGTAAACATTCGTTTCTCATTAAGCATGGTAGAAGTATATCATCACACCGACTATTTTCTGCAAGATTATAAAACTTTTTCTCTTCCATTTTGAAGGGAACGAAAGTTTTCAATAACAAAATTATTTAGTATCAACTAAAATATTTAATTATTTTACAAATTTTAAAATACGTAAATTTATTATAATATTTTAGAAGTACTTACATTATATTTCATTAACTACTATTGTTAATGAAACAAAATTTAAGTACTTCTAATTTAATTAATTATTATTATTGTTAATTTATTGAAAAAATTCTTTATCCATGTTGCATTTATGGTTTTATGACTTAATTGCTTTTTTTTCGTCTTAAATCATTTATATAATTCTAATTACCAATGTAGAGAAAGCTATTTATAGAAATTCATAAATATTGATCTTTAAAGTATTTTTTCTTTATTCTTTGACATTTGGGGAAAATACAAACATGTTATTTGCTCAAGCATTGTCTTCAATCTGACAATTTATTGTGCAATTCACAAAAATAATTCACCTTTTTAGATATATTTCATAAGTCCTTAAGAATAATGTACAAAAATACAGTAAATATATTTGAATTATTCAAACTTATTCAGATACTACTATATGAAGATTACACAAATTGAAAAAAAAAATAGTCAATTCAACTAAGTATAAATTAGCAATCTACAAATTAAAAATTAATAAGAATTTACTATTTGAAATAATGTTTTATTTATAATATATCAAATGATACAAGAATATATTCTGGAACATGTTGGAAAATGTTTTTCAGATTCGTTATTACAATTATATTAGTGTTTTACGCTGTTAAATACAGTGAAACTGTAGAGTATTATTAATGCTCTATATTGTATCTGAAAAATTTTTTTTTTTGTGTGTGTGGTTTTTTTTTCTCTTTCATTTCGTTTGTGAATTTATATTTATTCTTATTGCAAACATAGATTTATCCTTAATGATAATGTTATCATAAAAATATTTTTTTTTTACTTTGCTTGTAGAACTGAAGTCATACTTGGTACGCATTTGTTTAACCACAAATTATGGTTATTGCTCTGGGAGCGGCGTTTTTCCTCATCTTGATCAATTTTATTCGTGTCTTTAACCAATTTCAATTATTTTTATCTCTTTTTCATGAGCTTTCTTATATATAATATTTATTCAAATGCTTTTACGCAAGCTAATCATTATTTAATTATGTAATGTAAAATTGTTTTAAAATATCGATTGATGAAAGCAAAGACAATTTTATTTGAGAATGAAAATGAGATTTTTCACTAAAAGAAAATCGTTTGGAATTCTATAAATTTTCAATTTTTTCAAGATTGCTGTTATGCGTTTTGTTATTAACATTGAATTCTTAATTGTATGGGTAACGTGTATATCGGCCCAGAGATTGGGAATCTGTTGAGATTAAATATGAAAAAAAAATATATGAAGCATTCATAATATTATTAAAAACAAATATATGAGGTCAAACAAATTCACTAATTATTTCGTCAAAATGATAAAATACTTATTGATATGTTCGAACACTTTGTCAACTTTCAAGTCTAGGTTGATTATAAATCTCATGAATTACAAATAAGGGATTTCCTGTAATGAATGTACAATGGTATGGAATTTGGTAGGTACAATAAAGTTATTAATGTATTAGTTGTTCTCCACAATGTATTTTCAGGAATATATATATTGTTTATCAATATCTGTAGTACTTATATTAGCAAGATAATGTTCTAATTTTTCGGAATAAAAGAGTTTTGTTCGAAATCCGACAAGTTTAAAGAAGAAAAGAAAGTTCCAGGGTCTCTTTATCTATACATCATACTGTTGAATTCGGGGTTGATGTTGCAAAAACAGAAATACCTACTTTTGAGGTATTATTTCCAAATTGCGATGGTACATTTTGGATGTAGATTAATACACACTAGAATATCAATTGAAAACAAACATCTACGTTTATTGGTCAAATTAGATGCTGTTATTGTTATTATTATTATTGTTATTGCTTTAGAATATAAGTAAATATATCCTAATCAATATTGCCTTCCATTTACTTACAGCCCCCAGAGGACATAAC